CTGAGGGTTGCCACCTAATATCTTTTAATGTATAAAGGTCTTCCATTTAAAAAATACACATTAAAACTTGAGCTAAACTTATAATTTATTCTTTTTTAATGAATGTTCTAGCTTCTAAAAAAAAAAAAAAAAAAAAAAAAAAAAAAAAAAAACAAAATAAAATGCTCAACACTGTACAATACTGCAGAGTATGAATACTCTGCAAAATTTAATTATTTGACTGAATTTTCAAGCTTATCATTGCCAATTTTATGAAATATATATATACAGGGTATTTCACCTAACTAGTCCATTAAAATGTCTTTAAAGTCCGAAATTTAGTCCCAAATTTAAACTAGTTTTATCAGACTTAGAAAATTATATACAGTAAAAAACTGTCTAATGAACCAGTTTATATGAAAAAATCTCTGTAATAAATGATCAAAAATAAACATTACCATTATTTAAAAGGCAACGGATGTCGAGCCCTACCCTGGTTCTATTAACTTTACATCCTGAAACGACTGACATTTTTCTGTATCGCATCAAAATTTTTCTTCAAAAGCTGCAACTTGTTCGTTGAGTTGGACAGCAGCTGTCAAAATGTCCATTACCATCAATTTGTTCAGCTCACTAAAAGTACAAAAAAAAATTAAATAAAAAAAAAATTATGACGTCAGTTTGTTCATACTAAATTTATCATAATTTTCAACCTTGTAAAAGAAATTTAATAAAGAGATAAATAACTTACCATTGATGGAGGACTGCATCCACTCTAACAACTATTACGTATACAGTCTAAAATGGTTTTCCTTTATTTTTCCTGCAAGTTTCATTCCGTTTAAAGCTTTTTGATGTCCACCATAATATATTATCTGCAACTAGTACTACTTGTTAACTTCCTAACAGCATTTGTACCGTTGTATACTAAAAAAAAATTGAAAAAAATATTAAATAATTTTTTTATATCAATTTTTAATTTTTTTTTTTTTTTTCAAATTTTTGTAAAAAAATATATAGCTATTTTTTTATATAAATTCAAAATAAGTCATATTAAACAAACAATAACAATAAAGATCTTAGATAGACTTAAATTAGTTAATTTTTCTTAATAAAAAATAATTTTATAAATTAATATATTTTTGCGGTTTTAAATGATCGAAAAAAAAATATTAAATAAGGTATCTACTTTACTAAAAATATCCAAAGTAAAAAAAATCAACTATATATTTATCTCGGTTTGTAAAATTTTATTGCGTGTATCTTAGTGGAAAACTTGCAATAATTAGTAAAAAAAGATTTTAAAAACTATGCATTTTTTCCAAGAACGCTGATATGCAACCAGTAAATACAGTGTCTGTGTTTTATTTTGTACCGCTTTTAAGTCTTTTTTATTATTGTTTTAGTTCACAAAAAAAAAAAAAAAAAAAAAAAAAAAAAAAAAAAAAAAAAAAAAAAAAAAAAAAAAGAAAATTTATATTTCTTATTAAGATTGTTTAAATTTTAATAATTTTTTTTTTTTTATTATTTATTACCATTATTAAAAGGCAACAGGTGTTGAAGTCAATCCAGTAAATGGCATTTTTCTGTGTCCATTAAAAAAGATTTTCCATTATAAAACTGGAACTTGGACTGGAAACAGCTGTCAAAACGTCCATTAATACCAATTTGTATTGCTTACTAAAAATACAAAAAATAAAATAAGTAAATTTTTTTAAAAGTCCAGTTTCATCACATTTTGTAATAAAAAAAATATGTGTTTTTATTAATATGTTAGGTAGATATTAAAAAACGCAAATAGTAACTTCTTTAATATTGGTCAAATATTCATAGATTTTTACAAAAAGAAAACATACCCAAATAAAATTAAAATTGTCTGATACAAATTTGTAAATAACTACAAAGATTGAAAAAAATATATTAATATATTTTCAATCTCAAACATATTTTATTTTGAATTTGAAGCCTACAATTTTGCAGTTAAATACAAAGATTGCAGCCATAAAAAATAATAAAAATAACTTACCATTTTTATAGAATAATGGTAATGGAGGCCAATCAATCTTAGTACTATCGATTGTATCTTGAAATTGACATTTGTGGACAAGTTTTTCACTATCGTTTCATTCAAAACATTTCTTGACATTCCTCAAACGTATGCACAGTAGTAACTCATTTGCAGATTTTTAACAACTGTTTAACTTTATATTACAACATAAGAAAAAAACAGAAGAAATAAAAATAAAACATTAAAATAAATAGGAAAATTCAAAATTAGATTAATTTTAAATAAAAAAAAAAGTTTAAAGATGATTTTTCAAACATTCGAGAAGCAGTCGCTATCTAAAATAACGGTTAGTTTTGAATAGCAAAATGTTGACAAATTGGTTGAGGATTTTTTTAAAATAGTTAATTTATGTGGTGTATATAGTAGAGAAAATAAATTCGTTAAGCATTTAATCGTGAGTTTAAATTAGTGGAGCCACACAATCCATAACAATACCTATTAAAATGTATGTGTATATATATCTATAAATATTAAATTGTAAATAATAAATATTTCTCATTTCAAACCAAAATTCAAAAAAAAAAAGAATATGATTTGTTAAAACTTACCAATTTTGAAAGTTCACTGTGTTGTGGAAGCCAATTAAAGGTCCTGGTACTACTGCAGCCTAAACTGGTCTTTAATGAGCTTCTTCCCAGTTTTAAATTATGTAAATACTTCTTTGGAGTTACTAATAATTCATACAAGGTGTTATACCAGCTGCCATTTTACATTTCCACCAATAGATAAGCGAAGTGTTGGCGTAACTCGTCCGTTAGAGACAAAAGTTGGCCTGGACATGGTGAATGACAACGGCAATTTTTTTCTCAAATCAGTATGTTTTTCTATTCAAATTCATAGTTTAGGCAATAATACTTAGTAAATAACGGTTATTTTTATTGCTGGTTGTTTTTTGCAGTAATATTCACAGAATATTTACCTCTAGTCACTTGTTCAACAATGTTTACACTATATCTTCTGCTGTTTGAATAAATATGCTGAGCCAATCATTGTCCTTTGACTGTTTCTTATTCCATTAACCATTTCATTAGACAACCCTCAATAATTATGGAGTCCTACAAATAAATATACTATAATATATAAATAATAACATAAGAGTATTATTTTATTATGGGCAATGGAGGGAAGGATAAATAATATTTAATAATTTTTCTTATATTACTCTTCAACATACTATGAAATAGGTAGTTGCTCTGGTCTGTAAGTTTTGATATTTAACTTAGATAATTCATGTTGTTTTTATGTAATAAAATAGATATATAATACACAGTTGGCTTTTGATATCTAACTTTTAAAAGAAAAATATTAAATCATAAAAAATTAAAGAAATATTTAATATCTGGAAATATATTTTTTTAAACCCCTGACTGTATATGCAACCAACAATACACGTTATATTTAAAGCAAATTGGATGTATTTGTATTTAAGTGTGCTTTCAAATACAAATTTACAAGTAATGCAATTATGCAATACTAAATATGTTATTTTTATCACTAAAATATTATCATAGATTTATGATGCATTTTTTCAACATTTACACAAAGCAACTGCTTATTTAAATTGTAATAAAAGTAAGAAATCTTTACCTGTTTGATGGTCCATCATTTGATTTGCAAATATAAATAATTCCCCAGGAGGATCTTATGGAATTTTGTGAAGATATTATGTAGCATTTTGCCTTCTTCCTTGTATCCATAGAAAATTACTCCAATTTTATACCTACTCCTCAGAAATAAAAAAATATTATAAATATTAAAATCGGCATAATAGACATAAACAAATATAAAAATAGATATTAAAGAATTTATATATATTTATAATTACAGCATTCGAGCAAATACATAAAGGTAGTCAATTAAGTAAGAAAATATTATAATAAATCAGTAATTAGCTTGAATAAATGATACTGCCAAGATACTAGAATTGATTTTAATTAACAACTTCACTACGACTGAAATAAATAATGCTTTTACTCAAAATATATTGCTTCACCTATGGTTATACATTCTTTTACTTACCTTAAACGGAATCAATGATTGACTGATCCCAAGTTCTATTAAACTACCACAGACTTCCTACGTAACTTCATTCGTCTTTGAAAGATACGGTTGCTTTCTTCTAAGAAAATTGCATTCTATTATAGCCCAGAATCCTTTGTAAGTATTAGAATGATCCCTATAAAACAATAAAAGATATAGATATGCTGTAATAAATGTGTATTAAACCAACCAAATGACTTTATATTAAACTTATGTACCTCTACAGTTCAAATCTTTTATAAGACAATTACAACATTGCAATGAAGAGTATTATGTTTTATATTTTATAGTGTGTACTACGCGAGTGTTAAATTTTGAGTCAACTTTAAAAAAAAATGAGGAGAAAGTGAACTCTTACATGAGATAAACATTCCAAGGAATGATTTTTTTTCCTTAATTATTACTGTTTAAATATATTTTCAACTAACTGCGTTATTCTCAAGTTTTGCAGATGATGTGCTTCGTGTATTATATAACTATATATCTATCGGTTGTCTGCCTATGTATTAACATTTTTTAACTCTATAAAATTAAATGTTAATTTTTTATATCAACTTTGTTTTGTTTATGTTCCAAAACGACAGGCAAGAATTTTTTAATGAGTGTGAGAGAGACAGAGAAAACGCTAAAAAAGGATGCAACGAGTGCGAGTGAGAAAACTTAGACAGAGACGGAAAATAAGTTCTCAGAAATTCACATAGATGGCGCCAACGCAGTATTAGTTTGGCTTTTGATATATAGAGGGCACCAGACTATGCGTTAGTTCAGAAAGTAATAAACAGATGTCGCTACAATAATTTTAGTACCACTATCACAACATAGGTGGCACTCGAGATATAAAATATAGAAATCTGTTTGCCGGTAAATATTTAAAGTGCGCCATCTATGAACGTAAAATTAAAGCATTAATTTAAAAGTTTGGTTGAAAAAGCTGCTAAATATTCTTATTTTAGAGTTAAATAAAGTAAATATTTGAATAAATTAATTGTTAATATATTCTGCGATTCTTAAAGATTCTTCAACGAGGTAAAATTAATTTAAATAGTGTACAATAATGAACAACTCTAAAGTACGGCATTTGATATGCTTTGAGAAATAGAAATATTCATATAAAAAGTTGGTATTTCGCTAAAAACTCAATAACTTAGTTACTTCCATTTTTTTAGTTTTATATTGACTACTGTTTATGATTACTTCCAAAAAAATTACTACAATCACAGATAACATAGTAAACCCACAGTATAAAGAATAATTCTCATCTATTCTGTGATAAAACACAATGTCATCTCTGCTATAAATCAGGGGAAGTCACAATAAAAGTAGTGATTAATTAAAAAAAACGTCATACTAGGCATGATGGAATGAATAAGAAATATACAGAGTATTTTTTAAAAATTTTTAACAGTTTTTTTTTAATAAATTGTTTGAAAATACAGTCCTATACAGGGTGAGCCTTAAATAAGTGTAAATATTTTTAGGAGTGGTATATGTCGACCCCAGGAACACGTCTATGAGGCTTTTTGCGCAAAAAAAAGTTGTTGAGATTTGTTCATTTTCTTTTAAATTTTCCTGTATATTTTAGAAAAATTTTTAGAACTGCACGGTCACCGCAAATTTTCCCACTGTATAATTTCTTATATACCATAAGATCGAAAAAAAAACGGCGTCAGCGATGGCTATGAAATGAAAATCACTGTCATTTTACATGTGAAATTATAAACGGGGAATGTCATTGATATTCATTTCCAAGCCAACTGGACGCCGTTTTTTTTATCATACGGTATTACCACATGGTTACAGCTTTACTCTATAGTTACGACACTAAAGAGAAACAAGATAAGTTAACGAAATGCTTACCTATTTTTTGTAAGTCCATCGCTTCACAACTGCATCCAATCTTCAAATTCTTGCCAAGAAGGAACATCCAACATAGTTTTAACCTGAAATATTAAATAAACATTAGTTACTTGAAGAGTTTAATAATATACTCATATAAAATCTTAAGAAAAGGTAACAATAAGAGGTTAAAAAATAATATAAAGTAATAATTGTTGTTCTCACCGTAGCGAGTAGTTATTTCAAAAACCAACATAATTTTGCAGCTGCTACTAATATCTTAAAATTTTATCTTCTCTTCCTATCCATGTCCAAATATTAATTTTTTCCATTTTCCAAGATTTTCTTGACTTTATGGTGAAGGAAGATATAATTGGATTCAGATTTCCGATAATTATTCCCTAGAAGTTTGACACGAAAAAGAAAAAAGTATTAGTATTGATATAACGACTATAAAAATACAAATATTATAAACTAGAATTTTGTCTTATAATAATAAATATTATGGTTTACCAAAATAACTCACAAATTTGCCATATATTTATACGTTTTTTTTCCATAAAATTTCTTACTTAGACATCCAATATATTTTATTTGTACACTTCAGTTTCGATGCAGATGGTTTTATCTAAAAAATAAAAAAAACATATTTAAAAACCTAGAAAATTATGAAGCTGTAAGAAGATACTTTCTTACCTGTAGTCATCATCAACAGATTGTTCAACAAACAGTATGGTGTAGCCTCCCTCATATATTTAGGTAATCTCTTTGTGGTTGGGCCCATTGTTGGCTATGCTAGCTCAAGTTATCCCTGCTTATTTCCTAATATCATGGTCTTTTAGGTCCCTTAATTCCTTGTGGGTACCATGCTATAATTTTTCTGACCCATCTGTTGTCCGTCCTTGCCAGGTATCCTGCCTATTGCCACTTGAGGGATTTGACTTTTGAGGGTCTTTTTTCGTATTCACTCTATTCTTTTATGGTCTTTCTTGGTTATTCCCAGTATATTTCGTTCCATTGAGCGTTGTGCGACCTGCAGTTTTCTTATAATGTTCGTTTTAATTGTCTAGGTTTCGCCTGCCTAGGTCATGACTGGTAGTACACATTGGTCGAATGTTTTCTTCTTTAGATAAAGTGGCATTCTGGATTTGAATATTATTGACTTTCTTCCAGAAGTACTTCATGCTAACTTAATTCTTCTGTTGATTTCTGGTGGTAGAGATCCCGAGCTCTGTATTAGTTGTCCCAAATATATTTAATCTTCTACTATTTCTAGTGTTGTGCTATTTATTAGAATGTCTTTTCTGTCTACTAGTGCGTTGTACATTACTTTAGTTTTTGCTTGTAGAAGATACATTAATTTTGAGACCTACTTTACTGCTGGCTGTATTCAGTTCGTTAATTTGGGCTTGTAGTTCTTCAGGACTATTGGCAATTAGACATAGTCATCAACGAATCTTAGATTCTTCTCTTAGATTAGATTGTTAAGATATTCACCATCAATTTTTAATCCTTTATTGGTCCAGTCCAGTTGACGGAAGATTTCTTCTAGTCTTGCCGTAAACAGCTTTGGGGATATCGCGTCTCCCTTTCTTACCTGCAGTATATATCACTATATATTTTTTACACTCTATATTTTTTTCATATTCAAAATCTCTCTGATATCTTCACCCAGCACTCAACACTACCCTCCCAAAAATTCCACATATAGCGCCCTGAAAAAAAGGATATGCAACAACCAATCCACAATACCTACAGTGCAGCTCATACAGAGAACGTTAGTCGCTGAAGAGCTTGGAGCTGAAAAAATTGAAACACTGAACATGAGCCAATGTGAACCTGTTCAGAAGACATTCAGATGACCTTAAAGATATCTACTCAAAATGACCCTGCTGTGGTTCCTTGGAGACTCATACAAAGACTGATAGTACAAGAGCATCTTGAACTACTTCTGTAAAAAAATAGGAGCAACAAAAGAGTATCATATACATACATAGAAATTGTGTAGACTTCAATTTGACTTCGATATGACTCTCTAACCTGTTGCATACAGCTTCAAACAAAGTAGATGTTCAATCTACTATACAATAATTTTCTAAAGGCGTTGAATCAAGTAGGCTGCAGTAGTTCCTGGGAAGCCTCGTACTTATGAATCATTATATTCCCATTCTTGCTTCAAACGTAGTAGAACTTCAACCCATGTGAACCTATGAAACACAAGAACCCCACAAAAATATTCTGCAGGCATCGACTCAAACTGGCTGCTGTAATAGTGTCTAAGGCTGATACCAATACCTGTAAAATATAGTAACAAAAAAAAGACTGCCAGATACATAGAGATTGTGTAGACATCAATTTGGCTCCGACATGACGCTGACCTGTTGTATACAGCTTCAAACAAAGTATATCTTCTACCAGCGCGAACGTATAAGACACAAGAACCCTACAAAAATTATCTGAAGATGTCGACTCAAACTGGAAGCTCATAGAGGCTATCAGTCTTTGTAGAGCGCCAAGACCTACTCTTGTAAGAAAATAAACCAAACTTAGATATGACCCTGTTAAGTTTTGGACCTCAAAAATTTAAACCTGAACTAATGATGACCTCAAAAAGTCCTAAAAATTTCTACTGGGCTACTAAAAAACTCGATTCCTTTTTTCTAGGCCCTAGAATCATACCCGAACTTGAATTGAAAATACAAAAATAAATTTAAAACATTTAGATTATTTGTATTGAAAATTTAGTTATGGAAATGCTTAGATATTGACATGCGTTTACTCTAAAGTAGTAATAAGTAAAAGAACGTGAGTTAAAAAATTAGGAAGTTATAGAGAGTTACCTACACCTCCACGTTTAATTTAAGAAAATAAAAAAAAATCTTTTAGACATTCTCTAGATTTCAATTTGACTAAGATAATATGAAGAATGATATTAATTAATTATAGTTAATAAAAGTTTTTTTTTTGAAATAGTATAAATCACAAAGAATCTAATCCCAAATAACGTTAAAAAGAAAACACTAAAACAATAAAAGACTTGGAATCCTCATTATCTTAGCACCCTCGATTCAACATTACAGAGACTAGAATAGGATGATTATTTGAATTTAGTTTAAAATTACAGAAAATACTAAAACTAATAGTGGCCTAGAAAGTCATAAAAATCTCTACTACACAACTTAAAAAAATTGATTCATTTTTTCTGGGGCCTAGAATTTTTCTGAACTTGAATTGGAAATATAAAAATAAATTTAGACAATTTAGACTATTTGTATTAAACATTTAGTTATCGAACTGCTAGATATTGACATGCGTTTACTCAAAAATAGTAATAATAAAATAAAAGTGAGTTAAAAAAATTAAGAAGTTAAAGAAAATCACCTACACCTACATGTTAAATTTAAAAAAATAAAAATAACTGTTAGAGATTTTCAAGATTTTAATTTGACTTAGAGAATATGAACAGAGCTAAATATAAGAACATCAAATTAAGAAAAACCGATAGACATAACAACCCAATAAAAAAACCGATAGACGTGACAACCCAATGGACTTCGGCTGCTTTCGAGAGGAAAGCATGTTCTTTGCTTCTGTGAGGAGCCTCCACAGAGGACGTTAGCCCCTGCGGATCTCAACCCAACGTGCTTCTGTGAGGACGCTCATACAGGGGTCTTTAGCCCCGGTAGAGGTCGACTCGACACTCTGCTTCGCTTCTGTGAGGGGCCCCACAGGTGACTTTAGCTCCTG